GCTCTCATTATAAAATTGGCAAGGATTTGACGAAAGAACAAGGACACAATAACTGAAATAATTGCTGCTGGTTGGGGTAGAGGGTTGGAAAACTAGGTTTAGTACTCTGTGTCTCAGCTTGGGATTTCATCCTTTTTTTTTTTTTTTTCCTTGCAGCCTCTGGAAGTATAGCATAGTGGTTCAGAGAAGGACCATTTAATTCCCTGTTCTATCAAGCTAGTGCCTGTAGATCCTGGGAACATTACTTACTTAACATTTCTGTGCCTCAGTTTCCTCATATGGCAAGGGGGGATAACAGTACACACATCATAAGAAAATGTAGTTGTAAGGGATTAGAAGAGTTAGCAATTCTTTTTTTTTAATGTTTTTTTTTTTTTATTTTATTTATGCATACAGAGGTGCAGGGGTGGTGAGAGGATTCACCAGAGACAGAGTGGGGAGCAGAACAAGCATAGTGATGAAGTACACTGCTGAGGGGAGCAGCAGGTGAGACAGGAGAGGCCTGTTGCACCATGTGGATTACCTCTGGGGCTGGTAATCAAACTGGCACTGAAGCAGCTGGGGCTATCTGCCAGTGCTGCCCTTTAACCGATTGGGAGGGCCCAGAGGAGTTAGTGATTCTAATAAAGCCTCTTGGCAGAGTAAGTGCTCTATAAGCACTAGCAGTCAGTCATTTTGTTTCGTGCACATGCTCTCTTCCCTCCCCCCACTCCTGCTGGGCTGTAAAAGACAGAGTTCGCTGCAATAGCTGCTTGAATATAAACCTGGTGTCCAAAAAAATGCAGGAGGTTTTTTTTTTGTTGTTGTTGTTGTTGTTGTTTTTTTCCCCGGGGACCTTAAATGTTAGGTGCTGGTGGCCATGTGGGGGTGGCTCTCTGCAGCCTGTGCTCTGGCTGAGGACTCTGGTGTGAGGCTTCTGGCTGCTTCTTGGGACCTTGCAACTCTGCAAGTTTGTCTTTACCCTCTATATGGGTTTCCAAATGTGTAAAATGGAGCCATGCTAACTTGGAACTCAGGTTATTTGGGGTGAAGCAGACAATACGCATACAGTCATTACATGCATGAAGCCAACTTCTGAGTTCTTTCTATTTTCAAAAAATGCAGTTGGAAAATAAAGTAAATACTTCTCATCCCATGTGTAAGCTACACTGCCTCTCTTAATGCTCAAACGGGCTGTGTCGTCTGACATGGTGCATCTGTTTCTTGAGGTTTCATTTAGATCCTTAACATTTAGAAATCTTAAGGAACTTGGCCGTAGTCAATGTCCAAGGCCCATAGGCTCAGAGATGTCTGTTTTATGACAGAAGGATTTGCTAACAGTAACCCCTGGCATTGGGATGAAAACTGTGAAAGCTGGACTTCCTTTTGGGTGCCCAGGCAGCACTGCGTCTTTGCAAAGGTGGCAGTGACAACCGTGTTGTGTCTCAGCTCTGGGAACTAGTTCTTCACAACAGATTTCAGAAGAGACAATAGAATTGGTCACCAGGTATTTCTGAAAAGGATTTGATATAACATTGAAGGATAACCATCATAGAAACAAAAACTGAGGAATATGTGAATTGTATAATTGGAGTAAAGATGGGGTAAATACATTCTTCAAAAGAAAAACTTGTAGTTATGCTCATGAAGAAACTGTCTGGGTAGGTTCAAGCTAGCACAAAATGGCAATGTTTTAATTTTTAGAAGGATTTTTTAAAAAGATTTATTTACTTATGCATATAGAACTGGGGTACAGTCCAGAAGTGCAGGGGCGGTGAGAGGATTCAGCAGAGACAGAGTGGGGAGCAGAACAGGCCGACTGAGGAAGTACACTGCTGAGGGGAGCAGCGGGCTGGTCAGGAGAGGTCTGCGATGTCATATGGATCACCTCCATGGCTGGGAATTGAACTCATGCTGAAGTGGCTTTAGTTTTTTAGTGCTGTGCTTTAACCAGATGCGCCACCAGGGAGGATCCAATTTGTAGAAGGATTTTTAAATGATAAAGAGGAGTCTAGTTTTTAAACATTGGGTATTTAGTTCCAGATCTAAGCATTAATAGATCAGGTTTCCAGTTTCACTCATTAGAAAAACTGAAGAATATCACTTTGCTTCTCATGTGCTTTAGAAGGAGTGGTTCCCTTCCAGAGGCGAACAGCACCTGACATGGAATAGCTGCAATACCCACTTCTGTCATTCACAGATGATACTTGGTAGGGACGTATTGTGTAGGTAAAAAGTTACTATTATTGAATTTACATATGTCTTTCCCAGGTGTTATTTAGTAAGATGACTATGAATTCTTGATTTTTGGTGGGTTTATTTTCAGAAGCTCTTGTGTTCCAGGATTTAGTGAGAACTTACTGGGGAGGGTGAAAACATTAACAACAAATAAAACAAAAAGCAAATAAAACCAACAACAAATAAAATCAATATAAACTCAGCAAAAGAATAGAAGCTTTCTACTCAATCTCTCTAGTATATATGTGTACACACACATACATAGGTAGACACATTAGTACATAGGTAGACACATTTACATATGATTTACATATATATATATTTATGCATACAGAACTGGGGTATAAGCCAGAGGTGCAGGTGCAGTGAGAGGCTTCACCAGAGACAGAGTGGGGAGCAGAACAGGCAGATCAATGAAATACAGTGCTGAGGGGATCAGCCGGTGAGAAAGGAGAGGTCTGCTGCACCTTATGGATTGCCTCTGGGGCTGGGGATAGAACTTGCAATGAAGCGGTTGCGGCTAGCTTGCAGTGCTGTGTCCTAACCTGTTGTGCCATCAGGGAGGGCCAAATTATATATATTTTAAAATAAAAATGACAAGTGACTTTGTTTTTAAAAAAATTGGCTCTGTCAATTTGGGTTATAGGAAATCTGGAGTCAATAACAGTTTACATGGACAAAGGCATTTTCCTGTTCTTTTTTCCCTTGTAACACCAACCTGAGTTAGGAACTTAAGTTTACTTTCAGAAGGGTAAATGCTTCCTAAGGCTCAGGTACCAAAGCAAAAACATATTTTCACTATCTTCTTTCCAACTCAGAAAATATTTGGAGCATTGTATTCAGTTCATGAAAATAAGGTATGAAGCTTAGACTGGTCCAAAGAATCATGTCAAAGCCATGAGGTCTCATTAAATGATAAAATTCCCAGGGGGTGGGGGGTATATAGGCTAGTTAATGTAGATGTATGAAGGATAGTTACATGAAAGGAGAATCCAGCATATTTTCTATAGCTCCAGAGTGTAGAATTTTGAGGGCACCTTGAATGAATTCATGGGAAAAAATTCCTCTAACACTGGGAGTTCTCTTAAGCAATAGAACCATCTTAGACCTAGAAAATTTCCTCCCAGTACAAGTACTCTAAGAGGGGGTGGTTGTTCAACAGATTGCTCTTTCTGAGCTCTAAATAAATTTTTAGCTAGCTACAAGGGTTCCTTCTAAATCCAAGAGTTGCCTGGCTACTCTGCTTGCTGGGAATGGTTACCTAAACCCCCTTTTGCCTGTCTGTCCCCTAGTATATTTTTGAGCAGCTTTATCTCCCATATCCAGACACCCCACCTCCCCCTCTCCCCACCACAGACTCCTCCCTTCCTCTTTTACAATGTTATTCATGTCTTGCTTTATATGGACATGAGTGTTGGCAAATGTATAATGATGTATCCGATGGGGGTTCTGATGAGATGTTGGGATTCATTGAGTGGGGTCCTTGGCTTACCTCTGAGAAAAGTTTCAGCATGTTTCCCTTTCAGAGGCACACAAGTGAGTTTGCCTCACAATGGAAAAATCATGTGTGTAGATGCAAGTAGGATGGAGCGGGAAAGCTCCATATCCCCACCTCTGCTCCGTGCCTCTGGATATTTTCTATAGCAGTCCTTTGTAAGGACTGACACTCCTGTATTCCCATTTCTGGGCCTTGTGTAAGGACTTTTCATTTCTAAAGCAGGTTTAATGATGATGTTCAACATTTCTGTAGTTTCTGGTCTTTTGATGCCTCTATTTCAAATTTTTACTCTAAACCTCCATCACATACACCATTACAGCATCATTAGAATAGTTTCACTGACCCAAAAATACCCTATAAACCCCCTATAATTCCTTACCTTCCCTGAATTCCTGACAACCACTGATCTTTGCATTGTTGATATACATTTTCCTTTTCCAGAATGTTGTATAGTTGGAATCATATAGTATGTAGCCTTTTCAGATGTGTTTCTTTCACCTAGCAATATACATTAACATATCCGTTGTCTTTTTCTAGAATGAGAAGTCATTTCCTTGTATCACTGACCAATATTCCATAGTAAAGCTATATCATACCCCATTCATTCACCTATGAAAACTTTCAATTCATGTGGATAAGTAGTGTTATCTCTGAGTAATATGGAAACAATATGTTTAGTTCATAAGAAACTGTTAAACTGTCTTCCAACAAAACTGTATCATTTTGCATTCCTACCAGCAAACAATGAAAATTCTCATTGCTCCACATCCTCACCAGCATTTGGTGTTGTCAGTGTTTCGGATTTTAGTCATTCTAATAGACATGTAGTGGACTGACTTTTTTTTTTTCTCATATTCAGATTGCTATTTCCAAGTCACTCTAAGAAACACATTCTAGTCTATAAACACCACTGTCAATAGAACATTACTACACCACACCACACCCAACATAGTTATTATTATTCAGAATACAGATGGAGAAAGATTATGGAAACAAGAGAACATACAGTGTCAACACTAATAGTGCCAATAATAGTAATACAAATTTATTATTTCTGAGCCCAGTTTGAAAAGAAAGATGTTCACAAGACAAGTTTTGGTTAACATCTATGATGAGTTGCATTCTTGACTTTGGCAGTCATCACGTATACAACCTTTCTGTCAAGCAGACTTTGCCTTCTGATTCACTTGCTACTGATTCCTGATGAAGATGTCCCAGTGTCTTGTTTCAGGTTTTTCAAGTTGCTTATGTCATCATCAAAGCTGCTAATGCCCCCCGACCTGGAAACTGGATTTTGGAGCGATCTCTGGACGGCACCCACTTCAGTCCCTGGCAGTATTATGCAGTTAGTGATACGGAATGCTTGACTCGTTACAATATCACTCCAAGACGGGGCCCACCTACCTATAGAGCAGATGATGAAGTGATCTGTACCTCCTATTATTCCAGACTGGTGCCACTCGAGCATGGAGAGGTAACATGCCAATTATAATGATGACCATATTTGGGATGTTCAGAGGGCATTGTCAACCGCCATCTTGAATCACTCAAAATCACTCTTCTTAGTGCAAATCATGGAGATATTTAATAGAGCCAGCTATGTTTAAATTATCACTTACTGTGTCAGCTGATGATAATATCATAACCAACACATTTCACCTTATTGGATTTTTTTCCCATCTAGGAGAATTCTTGGCTTTTACTCTTCTGTGATTTATTAACTCCATCACATCCCCCTCAGAGTATCTTTCCCATATTACTAGGGCAAGAATATATGTTGAAATACTAAAGAGAAGAATTAAAATGCCTCTAACAGATACAGTTCACAATTTTCACTGTGAATTTCTACTCCTTGGGGTGTTGAATGCTGGGAGGTGGTGGGTCAAGGGCTTCCAGCTGAGAGCTTCGCACTCCCAGACTGTACAAACTTCATTCATTAAAGTCCACATGTAATAAAGACAAACCATTCTTTTGTAGTACCTGGCTTGATGAACTAAAACTACAAAAACTCTCCCAAGTGCTCTTCACAGTGAGAATTCTGCAACAAGCTCTCCATTATTTCAAGAGGAGAGATTAATTAGGAGGGCGGGCATTCCAAGGCTTTCTGGCACTTTTCTCTTTCTTCCTAATCTGTTCATGGCATTTAGAATTTGTTTTAGAGAAGCCACAGCCTAAAATACAGGTTAATACACTCACTCCACATTGGGAAAAGTGGCTTTCTTTAAAGGCTTGCAGTAATGTCTGAGACCTTGGATGGATGACTTCAAAAGACTGAAAACATATTAGGATTATAGTAGTTAAGAGACATTAGAAGGTTTCTTTGAGAATGAAATAGTTTGTTTTGACTTTAGATAGTTTCTGTAAAGATTACATCCTGAAGTTAAACAATCAGGATTATCTTTTTTCAAATTTAAAATGGACTTTTGTTTATTTTGATGTCTCTAGATCCATACATCACTAATCAATGGCAGACCAAGTGCTGATGATCCTTCACCCAAGTTGTTGGAATTTACCTCTGCAAGATATATCCGCCTTCGCTTACAGCGCATTAGAACCCTCAATGCAGATCTTATGACCCTCAGCCACCACGACCCTAAAGACCTTGATCCCATTGTCACGAGACGAGTAAGTTGGTGACAGTGCTTTTGAATAATGCCAAGTCTTTATTGTGTTCAAAGGAAATAGAGTTTTCTTTTTCATTGGCTTTTTCCCTCCAAGGTAGGCTTTTTTTGTTTTTTAAGTTATTGAAAACTATTATATATGCTTTGTTAAAAATTCCACCATTAAGGACCCTCCCTGGTGGCACAAGGGGTTAGGGCACAGCACTGCAATCTGGTCACATCCACCTCAGTGCAAGTTTGAGCCTCAACCCCGGAGGTGACCCACATGGTGCAGCAGACCTCTCCTGTCTTGCCTGCTGCTCCCCTCAGCAGTGTACTTTGTCAGTCTGCTTGTGCTGCTCCCCACTCCGGCTCCACCACCCTGGTACCTCTGGTCTGTACCCCAGTTCTGTATGCATAAATAAATAAATATATATATTTTTAAATTCCACTATTGAACTAGCTGATGGAAGTTTTGATGTCATGTTCTTAGCTGTATTCTGTGTAGCACTACATTTTAAGATTTTCTGCCTAAAGGATTTTGCATATGACTGCCTTGGTGTAAGATACATACAGCCCATGTTGCAAAATTCTTTTAGACTGATGATGAGCTAACTTGGGCATTATTTATTTTAATCTAGCATAAGAATTCTTTATGAATGAAATATAATTTAAATGTGTATATATTTTTTAGATTACTAATAATAGCAGATATTTGTTAGTTGCCAACATTTGCTATTCACTAATATAGAAGAGATTTTAATTTGGTTTGTATTTTTTCTTTTCCATAGTATTACTACTCAATCAAAGACATTTCTGTTGGTGGGATGTGCATTTGCTATGGTCATGCTAGTAGCTGCCCATGGGATGAAACTACAAAGGTGAGTAAAGCCTTACTGTATATTTGACTGTGATTTTTTTAAATATAATCAAGAAAAATATGCAGGTAAATTTTCAGATAAAATGTTACATTCCTTATGGTTTAGAAACTACAGTGTCAGTGTGAACATAACACCTGTGGAGAGAGCTGCAGTAAGTGTTGCCCTGGATTCCATCAGCATCCCTGGAGGCCTGGCACCATTTCTTCTGGTAACAGATGCGAAAGTAAGTTCACTGAAAAGTGCACGATTATAGAGTTTGTTTTTTCCATTCTTAAATGCTTAAGTTTATGGAGCCCTAACGATTTTTGGAATTAGTACATAATTTGTTTCCTTATTCAGTTACATATTAATTTAGATATGCAGTTAGCTACATAAAGCTGCATATTATCTTAATACAGTTAAACTATGGGGTCCTAGAAGTACATTTGTGGGTTTGCTAGTTTACCTAAAGTTTCTCTACCTATGTATTAATTTGTCCTTAATTAATCTATATTTAATTTTAAATAAACAGTATAGTCACAGGTAACATTGCACAAAAGCATATAGTGGAAAGCATTACTTCTCTACTACCTCTGTCCTTCCCACTATTTCCTTTTCCTTGTAAGTAAATCTGTATGTAAGTAAAGTCCAGATTAGCATTTTTGCATTCCAGCTCTCACATAGAACCTGATATATACTATGCATACTGTTCTATGCATTGTTTTTATATCTAATACTCTATCTTGAAAGAAAATTTGTCCATGTTATCAACACAAATGTTATTTTTAAAAATAGTAGCACTGAATCCATTAGATGGAGGTGAGCTACCAACCCAAGGATATTATGGTAACTTTCTTACCAGCCTTTTGTTAATACAGCCACTGTGCTGTGGCTAACACTGTTCAAGTCATTCAAAAGTGTGAAAGTACTTTTGCAAGATATAATACCAGAGGATGGATTGATGGTTCAGATAGGTCTGTACATGTCTAATTTTTATAGCTATTTTCAGTTGTTCTCCATATATTGCCCAAATACATTTAAAATTACTTATTCTAGAATTTCCATTTAATGTGTAGTCATAGAGACTTACTTAGGGAGGAAAGAAATTTCTTCATATAGGACATCGTATATAGATGGGTGTATATATATTTATATTAATTGAGATGTTAAAATACTCTCCTAGAATGTAATTGTCACAATAAAGCCAAAGACTGCTACTATGACGAAAGTGTTGCAAGTCAGAAGAGAAGTCTGAATATTGCTGGACAGTATAAAGGAGGCGGGGTTTGCATAAATTGCCTGCAGAACACCATGGGAATAAATTGTGAAACTTGTGTCGATGGATATTACAGACCACACAAAGTAAGATGAGCTTCCTGGTTTCCCAGGAAGCCACAGGTGACTTGCCTGGTGTCAACTTCAGTATTAGAGACTCATGGCCTTGTGTAATATTTCATTCATAGTCTTGTTATGCTAGTGGAACTCTTCAGACGTGGATTGCCTACTCTGTTTTCTTGCTCAATGTAGGATATTTGCTCACTGTTATTTAACTTGAATTTGAGAGTCCATTGACTGTGATCTTGGAGTAATACTAACATTCATTGCAAAGATTTGGTCAATAACTGGAGCAACTGCCCCTTGTCATATGTAATGCTTATTCAGTCATCAGGTGACTTCATATGTAGTTGTCACACAACTTCCCATGGTAGCTTGGTCATGGGTGATGCTTATGGATGGCTGCTGGAGACAGCAAGACAAGGGGTCCTGGTAACAGTGGTGGTGGGAAAGGGTGACACTGGCTGATGATACTAACTGCTGACATCACCTTAAAGATGTTTAGAGATTCCTGATTTGAGCTTATTTTATGTTCCAGAGGTATTCATCCCTCATTTATACAAAATCGTTGTAATAGTCACATCCTGGATAAAAAGGCAATACCTTGTCGTTATTATTGTTGATGTCACTGTTAACATTGCTATTCTAGTAAGATAATCCTGGACAACCTCTGCATTTTAGGTGTCTCCTTATGAGAACAACCCTTGCCACCCCTGTGACTGTGATCCTTGGGGATCTCTCAGTTCTGTCTGTATCAAGGATGATCTCCATTCGGACTTACACAAAGGTAAAAACTTGGTTCATTTTGGTGCTTATCATTGTTTTGTGTGTGTGTGCATTTCTGAATCACACCTAGTGCAACCTCTACCTTTGTATAGCTCTTCGTTGATAGGATTCTCTCTTGATATTTTTGTTGTTGTTCTGAAGTATTTATCAAGTGCTTGGGCAGTTTTCTAGAACTTTGGAATGTATACTTACTTGCACAAGAGTCTGGGTCCTGCTCTCAGCAGATACTAAGCAAATAAGTACAAATGTGATATCACGCCAGGTGGGGGAAAGTGCCATGGACATAAAGCAAAGTTGGATTGGAGGGAAATGGGGTGTGGAAGTGGCTGTGTGGGGTGATGAAATGACATTTGAGCAGATAATTGAGCATTTGGTGAAAGGAGAAATAAGACTCAGTTTAAAGCCCTGCATGGAGCATAGTAAATATCAGTCTCTCCCCAGCTCTTAGAAGACACTCAGCAGGGTTTGCCTATAGCATCTCACAAAGCAAGCAAATCCTCTGGTTAACTTTGTAAATGTCAGAATTCTTTCTCTTTCCAAAACTAGCAAATGGACTTGCAAATAGCAGAGTCTCCTGAATAGGTTGCATCTGTTCAAAGACTTATGATCCCATCAAATTCTCAGTCACTAGCAGCTAAAATGGGTATTGACTTAGAGGAAGGATGCGGCAGCTGGGGGCCCACGGGAAAAGTGGAGGGTACATTCACAATTGAATCAATTCTTCCATGCAACTGGTAATGAGATGCTGATGATGAGAGTGACAATTATCCCTGATTGGGTTCATTTAAAATATATGACATTTAAATTTTAGCCGTAGCACAGAAAAATCATTTAAAACATTTTACAGGCCAAGATATGTGCAGAGCAGTTAAGAAAACTTGGCTAAGGTTAAAAAGGTTCAGAGCTGGCAGTAAAAACAGATATTACTCATTGCCCTCTGCCATTTCTGTCTGCTTTTCTTCTGAAACAGCTTTATTTTGTAATATAATTCACCACCATATAGTTATACAGTTCAGTGACTTCAAATGTGCTCGTCAGTGTATTTGGTACATCCCTGTTAGGTGCCACAGGGCAATGTGAGAACATCTTTATCATCCACATAAAGAAACCTCAACCCACTGGCTATCACTCTCCACTTCTCCCCAGCTCCTCGCCTCCCCGGCCCTAGGCAACCACTGATTCTCTTTCCCTATCAACCTTTGCTAGTTCTGGACATTTCACAGCAATAGGAACATTTAATATAAGTTCTGCTGCCTTCTTGCACTTAGCACGCTGTTTTCAATGTTCATCCATGGGTACATCTACTTCATTCCTTTTTATAGCTGAACAATTCTCATTCTCCATTATATGACCATACCACATTTTATATAACCATCCCTCAGTTGATGTACATTTGTATTGTGTTGACCTTCTTGGTTATTCACTTATTATGGATCAGTGTAATGCTGCTACCAACATTCATGTATAAGTTCTTTTATAAGCCTATGCTTCCACATTTCTTAGTGAAAAATGTAAGATTGAAATTGTGGGAGCCTATGATAATGCTCCCACAATTTGAACATAGTCTTTGAACTTGTCAAACTGTTTTCCAAAGTTGCTGCACCATTTTACTTTCCTGCCAGTCTCCATGGCTTTCATCTCCATCTTCTTTTTTTTTTTTATTTAAGCAGGATTTGACAAACTATGGCCCACAGATTGCATCTAGTACACCACCTGCCTGTGTTTTCAAAAAAGTGTGATGTATATATTACCTGTGACTGCTTTCAGGCAAAAATCGTAGTATTAAGAAGTTGCTACAGAGACACTATGGCCAAAAATGTCTAAAATGTCTATTATCTGTCCCTTAACAGAAAATGTCTGTGAAATTATGCTTAAAATCGATTTTGTTTTCTGGTTGCATGATCATCATGCATTTCTTCCCAGGGAAGTGGCCAGGTCAGTGTCCATGCAAAGAAGGTTACACAGGAGAAAAATGTGATCGCTGCCAATTAGGCTACAAGGGTTACCCAGACTGCGCCCCCTGTGGCTGCAACATGACTGGCAGTGTGAATGAGGACCCCTGCCTGGAGCCTTGTCTTTGTAAGGTATGTGGGCGGGTCAGCTGCACCTGTGAGCTGCCTTGTATGACACATGAGAGAGGAGCAACCCCACAGGCCAGATGGTCAGTTCTTCCATAAAGCAGCAGGGTTTCAGCAGAAGATGCCTGAGCATCTCCCTAGTCTCAGTGCACGTCCTTAGATGAAGATGAACATCTGGCTAACTTTTTGGTGCCTCCTGAGAAATGGCCATATATTCCAGAGGAGTTTCAGTAACTTCATAGGAGAAATCAAAATCTGCATTCTTTGTCTTTGGCTTATTACCTCTTCTATACCATACTTTCTCAGTTTTATGTTTAAAAGAAGATCGGGTAAACATTATATTTCTAAGAACATTAATTTGGGGCACTATGCTATTTTGAATTTTTCTGTGACTCAAGAAATTGGGCAATGATGAGAAATACATTATTGGATACCAAGGAGGAATTTTATTTGGCTATATGATGTTAGTAATTATTTCCCCCATAATGCACAGAATTTCCTTTTGTACTTTAAGTGTTTATTCCTGTGCAAACAGGTATTCTGTGTAACTGACAGTAACCTTAAATGTTTTGCTTGAAAAATCAGCAAACGTGAGAGGTTTAAAAGTAAAACAATACCAAGAAAATCATTTAATTGTAATGACCGAGCTCTGAGATTCTTAACCTAATTCTTGACTACAACATGAACTGGTAAATATTGAAAAATACCTGTTCTGGAAATAGCGACCTGACTCTTACTTTGAGCATTTATTTGTTGACCTGCCTTTCTGGATAACCAAACACATTTCTTGTTAATATTATATTAATATCCCTTTATTCTGTCTTGCTGGACACACTGGTTCCTGAAGCTGATCTTCTACTCTAACTTGCAGGCGAATGTCGAAGGGAAAGAATGTGATCGCTGCAAACCAGGATTCTATAACTTGCAGGAAAGGAACCCTCAGGGCTGCACGGAGTGCTTCTGCTTTGGGGTCTCTGACGTCTGCGACAGCCTTTCTTGGCCCATCAGTCAGGTGGGAAGCACCCTCCGAGACCTCGGTGCATTAAGTACACCACCCCATGTGAGCGCTGTAGGAGCTGGCTTGTAAGGCCACAGGGCAACTCCCCTGTAACAGTATTCTCACCCATTTGGAATAATGTTGGTGAGAATCAGAGGTGCTCACCACCTAGATGTCACTGAAAGTGCTTCCTACTTCAGGTGTTTGTTCCACATACATTTCCCTGTGAAAACAAAGATGATATATGTAGAACACATATTATTTAAATTCCTCCTAAAGGGAAATGCATGGAATTATGGGTCAGCGTGCACCACCCCTGCCCTGAACTTCAGGCCCCAGAGCATACAGGACATGGGGTCTCTCTCAGAATGTTCTACCTCAACAAAGATAGTGAGGGTGAATGAGAGGATGTCCCAGGGATTATGAGAGCAGAGAAGATACCCCTGTTGTTTTGGAAACAGGGAGTTCTGGAGAGATGGGTTGAACAAGGATGACAGGGTGCAGGGGGAAGACTTCGTGAGTGCCTGTTAGATCAGGGATGAGTCCCCTGCGGGTGACCAGCTCCTTCCTTCACAACCCCATCTCAGGCCTGTATTTAACACAGGGAATAAAGGCGCTGTGGGGTTCTTTCTTCCTCCTCCTCCCCTCCCTTTCCATTGGGCTGGTGAGGAGTAGGAGTAGCCTGGAAAAAGTTGGAGTGACTCTCTCATTAGCATCAAATAATGTGTATGAGTTCCTGTGGTCACCATACTAGGGTGATCCCCTGTCATCTCTGTGTACATAACAAATTAGGAAGATTGTATCTGAAGGCTATTTTTATGCACTTTTTGGGTTTTGGGTTAAAAGCATATGGCAATAGTGAATGAGAAGCAGAGACATTTTATTCAATGCATTGGTGAAGTTCTTTGCTATTATTACTATTATTTGTAAAGTTCTCTGTTATTATTATTATTTGTGAAGTTCTTTGTTATTATTATTAGTATTATTTGTAAAGTTCTTTGCTATTATTTTTAGTATTATTTGTGAAGTTCTTTGCTATTATTTGATGTAAAATATTTGATTTAAAAGATACATTTGTGGTCTTTGTGGTTTTGCTCACCTATTGCTTATCATTGGTCTGGGTTTGGGCGAGGTGTGACCCCTTCACAGGCTTTCCCTGTCCTTTGACAAATAAGAAAGTCCACTGTGTTTTGGCTCATTCCTCACTAAGCTTTCTGGGTCCTTCTCTTCAATTATGAAGATAATAGACCTGGACTGAATGAAATCTAACATGGCTTCTACCTCATTTTCTAAACTTCCTGGATTTTGTTAAGGTAAAGGATATGTCCGGGTGGCTGGTCACGGACTTGATTCATCCACGTAAGATCCCGTCCCAGCAGGACGTGCTGGGCAGGCAGCATCAGATCAACATCAACAACACCATGGTCACGCAGAGGCTCGCATCCAAGTACTACTGGTCGGCCCCGGACGCCTACCTCGGAAATAAGGTGTGGCCAGCAAGGGGAGCTAACCGTTTCCCTTGGTATCTCTCTGAAGGGGTATATTTCTCTTCTGTGCCTTCAGCCTTACCCTGCATTTTGGCCATATCAATTAAACAGAATATTTGTACAATATGCTTCCTTTCACTGCCATGCCTGTGAGGTTCCTAACACGTTATGCCCCCGGCAGTCTTGGTGTTCCCTGTGATGTTGGCGGCCACCTCCCCTTGTGGGGCAGTGATCTCCTCTCTGAGGTGGTCTCTTCTCTCACCTACACCTTCTAGCTTACTGCGTTTGGCGGATTCCTGAGGTATACTGTTTCATACGATATTCCAATGGAAACGGTGGATGGTGACCTCTTGTCTGATGCTGACGTGATCATCAAGGTGATTATTTCAAGTCCCTTTGCTGTGGAACTCTGAGACTTAGTGGGGTGACAGTTTTGGATTTTTTTTTTTAATTTAGATTTTATTTTCTTACATCATTGTTCATTTGTTTACAATAGAAGATTTCTCCCCTCACATGTAGTCCCCATAGTTCTCCCACACCAACGCATCTGTGATCCATCTCCACAGTCCCTTATGCTGGCCCCTCTCCTGTTTTGACCTCTTCCTCCCCATTCCCTGCTAGGTGCCTCAGATCTGAGGTCAGCTTGCAAGTGTTGTCTTTGTCAAAAACATGCTATTTGCAGCAACACAGATGGGACTTGAAAAGATAATACAAAATTTGATTTGATTTTTTTGATGTTGAGATGAATACAAAATTGAGAAGTATATTTCCCCTGTTTTTAAATGTTAGGGAAATGGACTCACGTTAAGCACCCAGGCTGAGGGCCTGGCACTGCAACCCTACGAGGAATACTTCAATGTGATTAGGCTTGTGCCAGAGAACTTCCGAGATTTTAATAACAAAAGGGAGATAGATCGAGACCAGCTGATGACTGTCCTTGCCAATGTGACACATCTTTTGATCAGAGCCAACTATAACTCAGCAAAAATGGCTCTTTACAGGTTTGTATTAGAACGAGAGAAAACTTGTAAAGGTAATTCAGTCTTGTCTTCGTTTTCAGCCTAACATATTTTACATTTATGCATATAGTACTGATATATATGTCTATTGCACAGTTTTGAATTGAATAGCTTATTGCATAGTAGAACTGGCTGCCTAAAAGTTGTTTTTATTACTACAGCTTTATTGAAAATGTCTGAGTTGTCATCCATGAGACATATTTACTGGGACACAGACTTGACTTCAGAGAGAAATTTTTACACAGTCTGTTTAAGCTATTGTGTCCAGCCATACACATTTGATTGATCTGACAGTGCCCAGCAAAGCGCAAACATTAGAGACAGCTAAGGCCAGCAAAGAAGTACACCTTGAAGACAATCTCTCTATTAGTTAAGATGCTTCAACGCCCAATGAGCTACATCAGACCTATCCCGTAGCTGTTTATGGGCAATGGCACATCTTTGCCCCAATGTTGAAGTTATTTCTAGGGAACAGAGACAACCCCTAGAGAGTACATGATTGTGAAACTATTCAGTTACTAACGAAAATCAAATCACCATTTTATATTAATAAAGTCTTTTTTAAGAATCTGTCTCTCCTGAGGTCCTAGATGTCTTTTCTGAGCATGTGAGTTTCATAGTGACCTTGTCTGTTTGCAGGCTGGACTCGGTCACTCTGGACACAGCTAGCCCTAATGCCGTGGACCTGGCCCTGGCCACAGATGTGGAGCACTGCGAGTGTCCTCAGGGCTACGCGGGGATCTCCTGCGAGGTACCCCTTCTCTGCCACAACTGTCTTGTCCTTTGTCTCTTTCTTGAGATGAGAAAAGCACATGAAAGGTAGTTATTGCACCTTTAAATTTTAGATTTAGAACCCCAAAGTCTCTAAACTTCAGACTTTAGGGGGCTATAGGAAGACTGGGGCATTGTTTAACTAAATCTGATTCCTAAGACCTTTACAGTAGACACTACGCCTGTGTCTAGGACCTGAACAGAAATGGTATGTTGCGTATTCACATACACACAACTCTCTTTTATTGTTTGTCTTCTCATTATTTTCATTTATATTAAAGTTTAAAGACTTTATGGAAGAAAATTAAAGAAATCTGCCTTTTCTGCTAGGGTCTATGGCCCCTGGAAATACTGTTGGTGCTGTTCTTGCCTTCATCAAAGAAAGGCTGAAAAACCAAGGCCATATTTTGCATTTCTAATTGACCTTGATTGTATTTGAACATTTGTACATCACCAGTGTGCCCACCTAAACTTTAGACTAGTCAAAACTTTTTGGCACCTTTTGTTGCTTATGAAGTATATAAAAATGCTCTTGCAATCATCAATAAAAGTAATTTATTACTAACCTTTTCTTTCCAATGTATTTTAAAAATAGTTGGACATAGTTTTGACAATAACTTTCTCCTAAGAATTTTCTGTCAAAAAGAAAACAAATGAAAAAAAGAACTTTCTGCAGTTTGGGCAAAATTCTAGATTCTTTAGTATGTGGCCTCATTTAATCTTGACAGCAACTGTATTGGGTGGCTACTTTGTATATTGCTGTTCTATGGGTTGGAAAAATGGTTAGAAAAGTTAGGTGCAATGGACAAAATCACACAGCTAGGAAGTGTACATGTCAGAAATTGCATCTGTTCTGACCTCCTATATGATCCTACCTCTCCCATGTTTATGACAGCCATTGTCTGTGACTTCCTCGCAATCATTTTTACAATGAAGATATTTAACCTACAATTTGTTTTTGTGACTTTTTACCTATTATAAAATTTTCCATTAATAAAGCCAACCTAATGTTCCATGGTGTAGATTTTTTTTTTTTGAGATTTATTTATTTATTCAAACTAGAGTACAAGTCAGAGGGGTAGGGGTAGTGAGAGTCTTCACCAGAACTGAGTGGGGAGCAAAACAGGCAGATGGACGAAGTACACTGCTGAGGGGAGCAGCGGGCGGGTCAGGACAGGTCTACTGAACCACATGGATCACCTCCAGGGCCAGGGATCAAACTTGCACTGAAGTGGCTGTGGCTAGCTTGCAGTGCTGTGTCCTAACCCGTTGCACCACCAGGGAGGGCTTCCATGGTATAGATATTTAACTGAATTTTTCTATTTAAATATTTTGCAGTGTTTTTAAGGGAAAGGGAGGCCAATGAAGGCTTTTTTATTTTAAGATTTATTTATTTATGCATTAAGAGCTGGGGTACAGGCCAGCAGTACAGGGGTGGTGAGAAGATTCACCAGAGACAGAGTGGGGAGCAGAACAGGCTGATTGATGAAATACACTGCTAAGGAGGGTAGAGGGCAGGTCAGGAGAGTTCTGACATGCCATGTGTGTCACCCTCGCTGGCCGGGAGTCGAACTCATGCTGAAGTGGCTTAAGCTTCCCAGTGCTGTGCTTTAACCCGCTGTGCCACCAGGGAGGGCCCCACTGAAGACTTAAAAAGAAATCTCATTTATTTCTAAATTCAGAAAATGTTCAAAATTTATGCTAATCCCTACATGTGGTTTGTTTTATGAATAAATTAAGGCTTCTACTGGGATGTTAGGATAAATAAGCTTGCTGGTGAATAGAGAGCAGGGGTGTCCTAGGAAGTAGATGTCTTGGCTGACTGGACCAGGAGGGGGCAGCAGTGAGACCTTGACATTGGAGGAAAAGGCACTGACTGACTTGGCCAAAATGACAGCTTAGGCGTATCCAAGAAACTTAATGCCTACTTTAAAGCATTTTGGCCAAGCAGAATCCACTCTTTAATCAAACCCTTACTCAGAGGCTGCATTACAGAAATCAGGCAACTAACTCTTGATCCAGGGTGAAATTCTTGGTAATGTCACAGCTACTACACAGATCCCCATGTAGATGGACTGAATGCCCATCCAGAGACAAGCCCACCATCCCTGAGGGGAGCATGACTGTGTGGAGATAGCAGGGGACTTTCCCATGGTCAGTATGAATGAGGCATTTATTTATTACTTGCATAATGAAAATGTGCTTTAAGAGTTCTTTAACAATAAGAACCAAATCCACATCCCCTCCTCCCATGCCCCCGTGGGAGTCTGCTGACCTCCATATTAATCATTTCCCAGTCTGCATTCCGGGGTTTCACGTCTGCTGTAACCCTGGGCAGCTTCTCTGTGGACACAGTCTTGGACATGTGCTCACCTGGCTTTGAATCGTCCCACTGACCCCGTGGCATGCTAGCTAACTGCTGTGTTGCAGGTTGCATGTCTATAGAATGAAGATATTCGTCCACTCAGCTGTCATGAGGATTAAATGATTGGTCTGTCTGTGTGACTCTTGACCCTCACAGGCAGGGAGCAGCGTGCTTGAGCACCCACAATGCTGTCCAGTCCTTAGCCCATGGAAAGAACACTCAGGATGTTATACTGTGACACAGTATATGTATTTGAACACTTTGGGTAATGATACATAATAAATTTGAAGTAAAAGAAAAAAAAAGAAAACGAGCATAAGCAATCCTCTTGATTGAAACACTGGTCAAATGGCTGAGCTTGACGTGATTTCCTGTTTTAGAACCTTGCAGTAGACTCCTCACTGACGTGCTGACTCATTACAAAATTGATAGAGTTGATAGGTTTCCATCTGCATGTTCCTATCTTTAACAAAGAATCAAGGAATTGGGTTATGGTGGTATTTGCATGACAGAGTGTTACCTTTGAATTGTGTGTTTAAAATGGGTACGTCTTTTGGCATGTTGTAAATACCACAATAACAATGTTTGAAGGGCCCTTCCTGGTGGTGCAGCCAGTTGAAGCATAGCACTATGGGGCTGTCTGCAGCCCTGCAGCTCGAGTTCAATCCCTGGCCAGGGAGGTGACTCACACGGCACATCAGACCTCTCCTGACCTGCCTGCTGCTCCCCTCAGCAGTCTGTTTCAGTGCATCTGCCTGTCCTGCTCCCCACGATGTCTCTGGTGAATACTCTCACCCCCTGTGCCTCTGGCCTGTGCCCTGGTTCTTGTGTGCATAGATAGATAAATCTTTAAGATGTTTGAAAAGAAAACTATTTCTTCATTGGTGTAAAAGTGAATAGCTTGTATGTCTAACGTAGTGGAAAGATGACTGCTTGCCTAGTACGCAAATTGCCTCCACCAGCCTAATCACCTGTCTTTCTTTTGCAGACCTGTCTTCCAGGCTACTACCGAGTGGATGGAATACTCTTTGGAGGAATTTGTCAGCCCTGTGAATGTCACGGCCACGCAGCTGAGTGCGATATTCATGGCGTTTGTTTTGTGAGTCTCTTGTCAATAACTTAACTGCCCCTTCTGTCCACCCTGAAGCCAAGTGCTATGCAGAAGTCATTTTTTTTAACAAAGTGATTCCTCCACAGAAGACAATCTCCACAGAGGAAGATCCCTTTGTGGTCTTCCTCTGTAGACCACAAAGGAAATTTGAAAATTTAAGTCTATACCAAAAATGTGTCTTATTTTTCTTCTTTTCATTTGCAAAAAAAACAAAAAAAAACACATAAGTTTCAGAATAAGTATTATTCATCAATAAAGTTACTAAGATTCCATATCTACCCTGTATCCAAACAAGGTGGGCATAATTTCATTGCAGACTTTTTATTAGAACATTAGAAATAAATTATTTATTTCCCAAGATTATAAAGCAATACAAAGGCATTTATTGCTCACTGATAAAATAAAAAAAAAAGGATCTTTTAAATGTGGCTGTGGCTGCTAGTATTTTTAACATTACATTACATAATATATCATAAGAAGAGGAACAAAATATTTAACAAACATTGTACCATATATAAGACTTTATAGTTGTGAATCTGATAGACTCTTCAGACAAGTAGGTCTTTCGGGCAATATGAGTTGAAACAGGGATTAACAAGTGTGTAGTTAACCTGGAGAATGAATTTAGGGGCAGATACAGGACAGGACTTGTTTTTTAACTTCAATCAGGAATTCTTTTAAGCTCATGCCTTGAAGCCAGGCCACACTCCTGGGCTCTAATGGATTCAGGCTCATAGAGGGAGTGAATGCATATGCTAATTAGTCAGACCCTATTCACCACGCAGAGAAATGTTCATGCTCTTTCCACAAGAGATTGATTGAGTCACAGGCCTGGGGAAATTAATTATCGGGCTCATGATGTAGATCGCAGCATGATGCTGTGATTGCTTTTTCTCTCTGGAGCCTCATTTTTCTCTTCTGTAAGTAAGGCTTTTATTTTGATCTTTATTTCTTTGTCCTGTAAGAGGAGAGTCTGAAATCATGGTTTGCACACTGAGCGCATCCCCTCAAGGATCAATTTCCTCATGCGCCTAGTGTCCACAGCTGGGCCAGGGGACTGATTTTGCAGACCTCTCTGCCATTTGGTTTTGTTAGTCTAGCTTTTCTGGGGAGTCTGCCAGCCTTTGGGGTGGTCTCACCTTGTATTTGTGCCACCCATGGCCAAGAGAGGCTTCTGTGAATATATATATATTCACACACACAAAAAAATGCACTCACATTAAAGTGCAATGCTAAAAAGGAACTTGCCTTAAAGCTCTAATAACAAGAAATATTTCTTTTGGTCTTGTAGGGTTTTTAGAGAAGTGTCACAAGTGCAGAGAATTTCCTCTACCCTATCCTGATTCATGTTCACATCTCACCCAGCATCATAGTACAGTCAGCAAAATTAAGAAGTGAACGACAGCATAATTTGAGCCATGAAACCACACACTTAACTCCCATTTCATCCCTTTTCCCATTCCGTCGCTTGTTCTAGCCAGCATCAAATCCAAGACCTCACGTTGCCTTCAGTAGCATTTCCTCCTTCAGTCTGGGGCAATTCCTTTGTCTTTGTCTTTCATTCTTCCTGAAGAGTGCTGGGCATTCTTCTCTCTCCTGCTGGTCAGTTTGCAGTTGTGCGTTTTGTCAGGAGGACTGTGCCATGCTCAGTGCCTCCTGTCAGGACCCCATGGTGCCGTCTGCCTTCTAGGGGAAGTTGCCTGCTCTCTAAATGCCCTATCTGCCAGGGTTTCCTGCTGTAAAGTTATTGTTTATCTCCTCTTAAGTAATTAATGCTTTAGGGGACAAAACTTATAAACATTTAGATTGGAATTTAGGAAATATAAAAATCAGTAATGTCATTTATCTTTTATCCTAACTTTTCCTTTGTCTATTCTGTTAAACAAAGTCTTCTTTGGTAGCTGTCAAGCCTGGCACATAGCATTCTAGCCTCCAGGACTTGCCTCCATTTGTATAGTTTACTAGAGAAAGGGTTCTAGTTATTCTTAGTGTTTTTACCCTATATATTTTTTAAGATTTATTTATTTATTCATATGGAACAGGGGTACATGCCAGAGATGTGGAGGGTGAGAGGATTCACCAGAGACAGAGTGGGGAGCAGAACAGGCAGAT